TAGAAGATTAAACTAATCTTTACAAACGAGACGATCATAAATCATTAAAGTAATAAATGAAACAAAATACAATGGATCCTCGCTTAACAGGCATAATTCCTTCCAGAATCTAAATCGTAATGTGAAACACACGTTAAACTAAAAAAAAATATATTCGCATAAATTAGTGTAATATAATGGCGTAAAAATATTCAAAACATGAGTGTAAATCATATTTATCTTTTCTTGTATTGCGGAATGGGCACATTGGAATGTGAGTTTGATTTGCAGAAAACAAAAATTTTTTAAGAAAAAAAATAAAAATATTACTAATTAGTTTGTAATTTTATAAGACATGCCTAATTCGTTTTATAGAAAGCTTTCTAGATTAAATTTTGCTGACATTTCCAAATTTGAAAAAAAATATGACACAGAGCTTATCATTAAATAAACTTGTGGAATGCTTAGCTAATGCCTTATTAAGGTAATGTTTCCCGATGTATAGTGCACCAGTTTCCCATGCTTTTAGCATTTCTCTTATTGCACCAGGAGATTGGGCCCAATTTGGGACTGATGCCTGTCTCTGGTCTAGCTGCAATCAGCCACGGAAAGAAAATTTATAATCTCTAAGATATTCTAAGAATCACACATCTCGAACGTTTTTTACATGTTAGAAACAATGTCATCCATTCTGACCTCAAAATTGATCAAATAAAAAATTTTACACAAGCCACTTAAAGAAAACCTCTTCTTATGAACATTTAAACATCCTAACTCCTTCATTCAAGCTCCAATTGTCTACACTCACCAAGGAATCTAATCTACTAACCTAAAGAAATCTCTGCATGGATCAAAGTCAGAGCTCTTGTGGCTCAGTTAAATAAGGTCTCCCTTTGAAAACCCACTACGCCACTTACAAACGCACACTCATATTGGCTAGTTAGTTGTCGTATGAGAGAGTGATTATTAACGTCGCACTAATAGCAACACGGAGCTTTTGGTGACGAACCTCACAGTTTTGACCCACGATCAAGGATGACAGCTGATCTAACACCCTACCCCTTCCTACCACAACGGGATGACTTGGAACCAATACAGATTTACTAATAATATTAATCTAAAGAGCCGTGTAGGGCAGCGATGCACGTTAAATCTGTCGAGAGCTGAAATGTCCTCCCATTGGTGTGGTAGTTAGGAGAGGGAGGTGCCAACTCATGTGTCGTCCACGTCACTTGACCATGGTTTAAAATTACGTGGTCCGTCGCCAAAAGCCCTCGTGTAGCTGAACAGTGTGCGACGTTAATATTCACTCACTCACTCACTTAATCTAAAGAAATCTCTACAGGAATCAACGCCAGAGCTTTTATGCTACAGTTAAATAAGCTCTCCCTTACACCCTACCCAATCCTACCAACGGGATGACTTCAAGCCAATACAGATTTACTAATAATATTAATCTAAAGAAATCTCTACAGGAATCAACGTCAGAGCTTACAGTTAAAAAAGCTCTCCCTTTGGAAACCCACTACGCCACTTATAAACGCACTCTCAGATTGGCCAATTAGTTGTCGTATGAGAAGGGATGTCTTAAGACATGGGCCAACTGGACCCAGGGCCTCATCCTCGGTGGGGACCTAATTTTGTTCTCGACTCTATCTTAATAAAATCATGATCCAGACAATTTCAATGGTCAAATATTACTCCCGAACATATTCTCCGAAAAACAGGGAATTTCAAACTACATGCCAACTGACAAAAGTGGAAATACGGTTAGACTCTATTATTATGTGATAGCCGTTGTCCATGTCTGGACCTGAACTTAATACCATAAATAATCATTCAATTCAATTAGTCGAAATGCGGTCATCGGTCGGGCCGGTTTGTGCCTAGTTTTTTGAGATTGTGAGTCGTGAACATTTATTTGTTTCAAATTACCGTTTGAATGAGTATTTGATAATGCATGCTACTGTGTGTCTACTTTTAATGATCTCAGTTAAGGCCTACTTTTGCGTAGAAATCCAGGGCCTGAAAGAATCTTAAGACGTCCCTGAGTGTGAGTGAGTGATTCTTAACGTCGCACTATAAAGCAACACGGGGCTTTTGGGGACGGAGATCCCAATTTTGACCCACGATCAAGGATGATAGCTGATCTAACACCCTACCTCATCATACCAACAGGATGACTTTAAGCCACTACAGATTTATAGTACATTAGCCCTTCTACAGGCCGATCAGGAGCTCGTGACCATAACCACTAGTCTACCACAGCCACCAGTTGGTTGTCGCGTAATCCTTGTAATATTCTCTCACATGCTTTATTTTCCTTCTTGTGAGCTTGTAAAAGGATGTGCATATGTAAATAAATACAAATATATTTTATTGGTCACATCTTAAGAATTTTTTTTTTTTTTTCCAATTCTAAATAATACAAAAATAATAAAAATGTAGAATAAAGAAAAAAATAGTTTAATTAATTGAGAAACGTGTAAAAATTTTTGAAAGATAAATAAATGACCTTTTTGATAATTTCTGCTCTTTATAATAAACTCAAACTCAGTGGCGCAACAGCCCATGAGGGCCAGGGCCTACTGTGCCCATCCCAGTATACGAGACCATTGGGTACTGAAGTGCATGAGCAGATGTCCCGATCAGCTGGTCAGTCGGAAGCGAGACTCCCAGTGTTTAAGTCCCCAACCAAGCTTGGTACTCATCTATCGACCAAATGCAGTAGGGATGAAAGGCTGAGTCAACCTCACCCAGCCCGAGAATAGAACCCGGACCTATGGTGTGGAAGAGAGATACGCCTCCACTCGATCACTGGGCCCCTAACTCTTTATAATAATCATCAAATTTATAATTCCTAAGATAAAAGCACTAAATATACCATATTTAAAAAAAAAAAGCGAGCTCTTGAATGATAATATGAGTAATTGAAAAATTACATTCATTATTATTTGTTGTTTATTCAAATCTTTAAATTGTAAATTAAAGTGCTAAAATTGTAAACGTGAATTTATAAAGTATAAAAATTCTTAAGATAATTTGTGGTTTTACTTGTAAGCGTATTTTTAAAATTATTTTTAAGAATCTGGTATCTTATGGAAATGCTGTAAAAATTACTTTCTATTATAATGATTAATTTAGTAACACAAATTTATTAAAGATTTATGTATTTTTTAATATAAATAATATATTCTTTTATTTTTTTTAATACACTTACTAATTTATTCACTTTCCAAATACTTGTAGCTCGTTGAACACGCTTGCCTTTGAAAACAAACTGAAACTCCCCTCTTTTAAACTTTATATTTATTAGGTTGGGGAAAAACAATCCATTATTTTTGCATGAAATTCATGACTTTATTTAACATGTTTTGGATTGTCCGATTTGGGTCAAATATGCACCATTTTGTTGTATAATTTGTTGCCATCTTAAAGGTAACTTCATAATGCCTCTCTCATAGAAGTCTTGGTCCTTATTGGGGAAAATCTCTAGTAATCGATTTTCACAATCTTCTCTTTATCCCAATTTCTTATCACTAAGAAAGTTTTGCAATGCAAGAAAAAGATGGTAATCGCTTGGTGCCAGGTCCGGACTATATGGTGGATGCATTAAAACTTCCCAACCAAGCTCCCAGAGTATCTGGCGAGTCACTACAGACGTGTGTGACCTGGCGTTGTCCTGATGGAACACAACGTTTCTGTTGGCCGATTCCGGCCATTTCTGGTCAATCGCTAGCTTCAAACTGTCCAGTTGTTGACAGTAGAGATCTGAATTTAGTGTTTGGCCGTACGGAAGTAACTCATAATAAATTATTTCTTTCCAATCCCACCAAATATAGTACAGAACCTTCCTGGCCGTTAGCCCTGGTTTGCCACCGTTTGAGCTGCTTCACCACTCTCGTTTTCTCCCAATATTGTCGTATGTGACCAATTTCACATCCCCTGTCACCATCCGTTTAAGAAATGGGTCGGTTTTGTTCCGTTTGGTCAAGGCTTCACAGATGGAAATTCGATCCATCATGTTTTTTAGTGTTAATTGGTGTGGCACCCAAACATCAAACTCCTTTTTGAATCCAACTTTGCGCAAATAGTTTAAAATTGTATTATGGTCGATCTTTAGCTCCTGGGTGATGCTACGACTACTAACATGTCGGTCAACTTCGGTTATTTCTGTGATTTTATCGAGATTTTTGACGACGGGCCTGCCTGTGCGAGATGCATCTTTAACATCAAAAATGCCTGAAGAGAATCGACGAAACCAAAATTGTTCGTAATTAGCTGCTACAGTATCGGCACCATAAACGCTATTCACAATTTCAGCCGCCTGGCTTGCATTTTCGTCTTTATAAAAGAAAAACTGTAAAATGTACCAAATTTTTTCTTTGTTGATTTCCATTTTTAACACCCTGTAACTCACAACTGAATGGACCAAACAAAAAACAGCAAAAGAATTTTTTAGTGTGAAATGTCACCTTGACAATGAGCCTAAATATGAAATTGTTTGATCGATAATTCACGAGATATTGATATTACAGCCATCTACCGAAAAAAATAATTGATTTCTTTTTCCCCAATAATATTAATTCAATTTGTTTCGCTTACTGTGTCCTATTTTTCAATTTCTACTGTTAGTTCCCGCTATCCCTATATATATATCTTGTTCAAATTTTCAATCGTTAGTAAAATACTTTTTATTCATCCACTCTATTTCAAATACATTTCTTTTAATTTGTAGTGGATGACACTTGATGTTAATACAATTTTTTCAAATATTAATTCATTAATTAATGAATAATTAGTAACAAACAAAAATAACAGTCCACCATATATAAAAAAAGCACTGACATAGCTAGTCTTGAGGGGGCCCTGTATCAAAAATTCCTTTTGGGGCCCTTTTGGGGGCCTTTTAACATATAACGATTTTTTGCTTACATATGTTGGGGCCCCTATAGCTTGAGCTTCGTATCGGTGATACGGTGGTAGCTACACCCCTGATAAAAAGGAAAATCGCTCGTTGCGTCCTTGTACCACAATGGATATTGCGTTGGACTTCTAATCCAAAGGTCGTGGGTTCGAATCCCACCTGGGATGCCCTAATTTTTGAGAATGTGATGTCTTTTTACTTCATTATTTCATTGGAATAATTAAATTTAGTTAATGAATAAATAGTAAAAAATATAAATTATAGTTCAGTAACTTATATAGAATGGAAAATTGCAAGGAAAAAATCGCTTCCTATTTTGCCACTTAATATTTTGATTCTGGTATATGTATATACAATTTATATTAATTGTAATTATTTAATAAAAAGTAACTCAAATAAAAATTTTCTTTGTTAACCTAAGTAGGAATTGATTTAGATTTTTTTTTATTACTTGCTAATACCTTAACTTAACTCCGCAAATATACATTCCCATAATTACATTCATACGATAATTTTCCTCCTCTTAATTAAAATAACTATTTCTTCTTCATTCTTAATTAAGCTTCACTCTATCATGTACTTCACTGACAATGACGAAGTGTGGTAACAGCAAATCTACGAGGAGAAAAAAAACACATCACTTCTGATACATTCTCAACGCATACGCTTAACTCCATATTTTATGATAAACTTATGTGCATGTACACACATCTATAAAGACATTAACTTTTCCGCCTCCCCCTCAGGATATTAAGCGGCCAGTGGCCAAAAATAATGGTAGCCAAAAATGGGACTGCCCGCAAGGAGGATGGATATAAAAAAAGAGCACTAGAGCATTTAATCACCAAAGTCCTTGGGCCAAGAGTATTTCACACATCATTTATCATACGCGTATACATGTCACGTGGTTCATTAATTATAGCAGCACAGACTCATTAATGTTGACAGCCAGTGTCGTTAAGCAGCCGCGTCGTTACGGAGTTTATGATTGTTGTCGTTACAGAGGGGTGGAAAAAATTAATAGGCCGGTGGAGGGTACCCCTCTACATGAAAAAGTGGAACAAGTCACTGTCTTCGTGCTTCTAAGATTTATGTGGATGTCCTTCTGAATTTAAAGAATCATCAACGTTCTGAAAGATCGAACACATTTATCGTTGGATATTGCAGATTCTTTCAGGGAACGTTCGACTGTGGATTGATGACGAGAACGGGAATTATTTCAGAGGTGTGTGGTTTAATGTCGATGGGGTATTGTATGAAATTTTCAACGTTTTGAATCAATTATCAAATAAGTTAAGTTTACTGAAATGGTTAATTAATCATTGGAGAATTCTTCAAGTCCTGTCATGGAAATGATATCTCAATGTTAGATATTTCTAAAACTTTTTTTTATATATCTGAAATTGTATTACTTAATATCAAAATTTTATCATAGACTAGCTGGAATACCCGTTCTTCGCATGGGTGAATTTAAAAATTAAATAATACAGATTGAAGGATAAAGAAGTTTTTAATGTTAATTTTACGTGAATTGCAAAATAAACAAAAAAATTATTTTGCATATCTCAGCTGCACAGAAAACCATATTTGTTAAACTTTAAGCCTGCAGATAAATTAGCTGATAAACAGAATTTTTTTTTTATTTATGACGCCTTGTAACTCTCTTGTGCGTCGATTTTTGAAAACACCTTCCTAAGCTGATCTCTGTTCAGCAAAAGTAACACATTGTTACAAATTTTGTGTAACGAATGCTTAAAAATAGTGTAAATAATTTATATTTGGATGTGTAATACGTTAATATTACTTTCTGTTGTATTTATTTTATGTTAAAATTGTAATATTCGCAAGCAACACCATTCCTTTCATTATAATGGCGATTCAATGGAAACATAGCGAAATGTTGGCGATAGATCCAAGTTGGCGACCATGTTGGCATCGTGGCGATTGATTGAATGGTTCAGAAATTGATATGCTGTAGCGCCACCTGGTAGGGAGCTGCAACAAAGAGGATAGCACAAAAACCTTCTCCACAAAAAAATACTACATATACATGCAAATTTTCGTAGTGATCGTTTGAATGGTGTTGGAGTGAAGCGAGTTCATAATGCAAACATCCATTGTTATATATCATACATAAGGTTGGATATTTAGTTGCAAAATTTTCCATTTTTAAAGGTAGTAAAATTATTTAAGTAGCAAGATTATTTAGCTGCATATGTTTAATGCAGGGGTTGGGCACTTTTTTAGCTTCAAAGGCTACATTGGAAAACCATAAGGATGGCGTTCGTTCTGAAATTGATTGAGGAGTAAGACATCAATTTTGAAGGCAAAATGTTTTGGTAAAGTTATGATTATTCTAATGGCTGTTATAGTAATTATTAATAACATTTCATATAATTAAGACACACAGAATTGGAATTACTGTTTTCTCGTCTTTTTACATAACTTTTTTTCAATAATGTACAACAGGGGTGAGAAATTATTTTGGCTCAAGGGACAATATTATGAAAGTGGAAGATAATGGAAGGCTGCGACTTTTTAAAATGATTGGATTCTGTAGCGCACTCAAAGGGGAGGGGGAGGATCCCTGGGTCCGAACACCCTCACAGCCCTTTATTTATTATTATTATTATTATTATTTTGATTAATTATAAACCTATGAATAAAGTACGTAAAATTTAAAAAAGTATTTATTATTAATAATTAATTTTATCAATTAATGCTATAATTATTTATTTAATAATTAATTATTTACTGTTTTTTGTTCCCGAAAATTGACAAAATCAAAAAATATGTTGGGCGGCGTATTGGGGCATTATAGGGCCGTGGGTAGCCTAGTGGTTAGAGCATCGGACTCCAGACTGGAAGGCCTGGGTTCGATGCCCGTGCCACCAAATACCCTCCGAGTACACAAGGAGTACATGCTCGTTAAATAAGTGGATCCGAAAGTCTTGTGGGCTGAATCACGAGTGCAGGAGACTGGAGAGCATTTTCCTCCCCTTCAGTTCCATGACAAAATTGTGGAGGTGGTGATAGGAAGTGTCGCCATCTATCGTCCCTTCGGGGAATTTCGCCGAGCTAATTCGTACTGTCACCTATGTGGTGCTCAAGGCCAAGGCCAACGACAGGCGTACTTCTAGCCCCTTGCCACGATGAACTTCGTGGGCCTCGATCTGACTACGTCAGATAGGTGGCATTAGCCGTAACACAACACAACATTGGGGCATTATACGAGAATGGTGGACTCTCGACCCTGAACCCCTCCCTCCTTGAAAAATTCCTGTGCGAGTCACTGATTGCATTCATTAGATAACTTTGAATCTCAGAAAAGGTATAAATTGTTTCACATAAAAATCTATACATGTAAATTAAATAAAATAGTGGTAGTTTTATTCAATTTATTTACTGTGTAAATTTCATATCTACAGTTGCGAACACATTTAATTTTAGAATCGCGCTTTTCACACTTACCCTATATCACACTTTTCTACGAGTTTTTTTTTTTTTTTGAAAATCGGAAATGAGATTGCTTGATTAAATTCTCATCACAGCCTGCAAGTTAAAGTCAGCCAGCTTCAATCTGTATTTGTCCCTGTTGAGCTTCATGCAAGAAACACTTACCTCACAAACGTTTGTTGAGCCAAATATAGAAAATATTTTCTATTTGTCTTCTTTTCTGATCGTCTTAGTGGGCCGCAAAAAAACTCTTTGCGGTCATCTATTTGACTACCTCTAGTTTAATACAATGAGGCCCGGTGGCCGAGTGGTAGTGAATCGTGTTTTCATACCACAAATCCGGGGCTCTATTTCGGGCTGGGCAAGGTCAACTCAGCCTTTCATCCCTTCAGTGGGTTGATAAATGAGTACCAAGCTTGCTTCGGGACTAAACATTGGGGTTTCGCTTCAGACTGACCGCCTGATCCAGACATCTGCTCATGCACCTCAGCACCCAAGGTCACGTGCACGTAGATTAGCAGAGTATGCCTTGGCCCTCATGGGTTGTTGTGCCACTGAGTTTAGTTTAGTTTAATACAATAACTCTAAATAGTTTCAAAGTATAGAGAGAGATATTTATGAATCTAAGAAATAATATTCATTCTTCGAAAAATTGATCCCCTTTATTGGTAGATAGTCTCCATTATTTTTAGTCACTTGACAACCGATATCTTCTAGGTCAGGAATGGCGAACCATTGGCACGCGTGCCATTAATGGCCCACGGCACAATATTTTTGGCATGAAAGTGATCAAAATGGTTTGTATTTTATTTCAAAATTTCAAAGTTCACTATGAAGTATTACGAACAAATGCTAGTGATCGTTCGCGGGGTGGCGAGGAGCACACTCGTTTGTTACGTCGTAAACTACAATTGCCTATCATGTAAATTGACATATATGTGTCATTGACACAACTGTATTTTAAAGTTTATCTGTGTTATATTTACAATTTTAACTGTTATTTAGCATGGCTAGTTCAGCAAAAGAACAAAAGTGCAAGATAGTAAGTGTAACAGAGAATTCCAAATTTGGTAGACCGAGAAACATGGCATTATATTAGTAAAGGTGACAGAGCGGTGTGTGTTTTATGTTCTAGAATAGTGGTATGCAGAACATCTTCTGTCAAACGGTATTTTGAAACAAATCACAAACCCTCTTGTCAAAAAAGTGAGCCATTGCAAAAATAATTAATTGCTTAGAAACCGTTTGACTGCAATTCAGCATGTATTCTACAAAAAACAATCCTAATATAAGTTATTTGTCATCCACAATCTGCAACAACAGAAGTAACGCTAATGTTACTCTTTAATTTGAATTACACGTATAACTAAAACATTTATAACTATACAGTGTAAAGGGTATTTTTTCGTAGTAAATAGAGTTTTGTGTTGTTAGTATTTAGTTTTATTATTTTCCCCATAATCACAAATCAAAACTATTTGATGACAGGTCTGTGCATCATTAAACATTTCTTTAGAAAAAATGGTACGTTGATCCATGACGGTTCGCCACCCCTGTTCTAGGTGAATACAATAAATAATTTTATAACTTGGATAATTGATCCCAACAGTTTGTTATTACAACTCTGGTATATAGTTAAACATAAAAATGCAATGCGAATTTATTGTAACGAATTAATAATTTACGACAGATTCAATTTCTGAGCTTTTCA